CTCTCAGGAACCTCTCCGGACTAGCAACTGATTTTAGGCCCTAGCAGGCCAGATCCAATTGTTTGATCCAACCCGTGGTGTGGATACCGTAGAGGTCGTTGCCCTTTGTGACGACTCTCAGTGGCTGTTTTGCCCATCACCGTTTGGCTCCGTCTCGCCTTTGAGGTGAGTATCTCTCTTCGAGATCTTTATTATTCGTTTTTGTTTATTATTACATTTATGCACGATGCTTAGTGTTTTCCTATTCTAGGATTAATTAAATTATGAATTTAATTTCCGCTGCGCTTAGATCCTAGAACTAGGTTAGTGTCAGGTCGGGAACCGTGGCACTAAGCCTGGAAAAACCCAACAGTGGTATCAGAGCATGGTTAGCATATATGTAATGATACTTATAACGAACTGTAGGATTTCAAAATGGTTTGAAATTTGTTTCCCGATTAGATTTGGACCTAACACCACTTGCACGAAAATGGTTGTGGAACTGTTTAAAATGATATATGACGTAAGAAAATGTTTCTGGATATATCATTGTTGTAATGCATGACATATTGAAATAGTTTAAGAAACTATGCGTATGAGTGATGTATTGAGTGTAAAATGTTTCTAAATACATCAAAATAAAACTAAACAATAGTTGTCAGAACATTAAAGAACAATAGTTGTTCTCAAAATTTAAACCCCTCAAACAATAACGTCTTTGATCGTCAGGGAGCACTTGTTAAACTTTTGATAGTCTGTGTCACGGGACATGCTCTAGCTGTGCGTGCCAGATTATCTTAAGTGAAACAAGATAGAGAAAAGGTTATCTCTTAGCTTGAACACGATTGGATTGAATTTAAGCTTCATACCACCCACTAGTAGAGCACTCGTCAAGGCTTTGATCGTCTATATCACGGGACATACCCTCGTTGTACGTGCTAGATTATCTTAGTGAGGCGAGATGGTGAAAAGGGTAGATAAAATTTGAACCTCATTTACACATAATTTTGGACGAATTCCTCTAATGGAAAAAATAGAAATAATAATTTTTTACAACCAAGAAAAATCTTTATTTTATAATTATTTACTTAGCAAAGCCTAATAGATGTTGAAAAAATTCTTATCTCTTACAGTTTTTTTATTGTGATTTGGTATTAAAATAAAAATATAAATAAACATGTTTTTCTCCTCATTTAAATATTACTGAGCTCTCAAAATAATATATATTAAACTAAAAATGTATTATAATTTGTTTCGTATGTGATAATACGTTTTTATATACTATTTGATTCTGTTTGTAGTATTTCATACGTATCATTCTTATATTTGTTTTAATACCAAAAGTTGCACATATATGAAAAGAATATTTTTTTCATTTTTTATAATATGATACTGTAAAACAACTGAGGCAGTTTCCAAAACTTTAACATGAAATGGAATCACCATAAAAATTATATACAAACTTATCAACATGCCATTTGAAAATTTGCAATATTTCTACACAAATAATAAATTTCATGAATGTTTGTGTTATTTAAATATATATGATGATTTATATGACGTTGAATAAGCGTAAATAAAAGAAATATTTTTTCACTTAGCCGAAATCATAACACATATATTATATAAATGATGAAAAACTTAAGCTATCGTGGGAATAGCAGCACAACGAATCCATAAGTCATCACTCTTTTTCAAATACTCTGCTTCGTGGGCAATGTAAATCGGCCTGCTCGTCATGTATTTGATGAGAGTGTCGTAACACAACTTTCCCTCTTTGATAAGTTCTGGACAACAAGAGTCAGAGACCGTCCCGTTTCCAAAAATACCCTCAACTATATCCAATGCACACTTCGGGTTAATCTTGGTAAGACACTGATCCCATAGTTGCTTGGGTTCGCCTTCTTCGACAGCAATCACATGCATTGATGCATATGCGAAAGCTACAACTACGAAAAACATAACCATGGAATTGTTGAGTTTCGCCATCTTTAACTCGTATGTATGCTTTAGGGTTTAGTTTTTGTGTCTTAAGTTAAGGTGCAACAAAGGCCGTCTTGTTTGACTTATGTGAAAATGAAATAGGATCCTCTTTATAAGGCATGAAAAATTATAACGGAAACTTCACATAATAATTATTTTCTTAACTCTCATGGTATTTATTAAGAAGTTTCTTTGATTTAATTTTTAACGTTCTCATCAAATAGTCATTCCTATATGTGAAATTACTTATGTACAAGCGAACTAAAACTTCAAGATTAACTTCAATGATCCAACGGATTCGCGTGACAATGATAATTCATTTTTCTTAACGTTCTCATCAAATAGTCATTCCTATATGTGAAATTACTTATGTACAAGCGAACTAAAACTTCAAGATTAACTTCAATGATCCAACGGATTCGCGTGACAATGATAATTCATTTTTCGATTATATGACTCATTAAGGGCGGAGCCAAATAAATTTATAAGAGTAGGCAATAATATTAATATACATATAAAATATAAAAATTTAATAAAAATATATAACCATAAAAAGGTTTATATAAGGGTAAATATATTTTTAGACCGAGAGCAATTAAAAATTTTATCTAAAATTTTAGAAGAAAATTCAAAATTTTAATTAATAAATGGGGCATGTGCCCAAACATTTATATATTAGTCATGATATATTATTTAGTAGGAAACAAATCGGCATCCAAAACGAGAAATACTCAATTATACAGATTTTCGTTCCATTTTTTATTTATTGCATGCAAAATTTTATCTAGTTTAAAAACAAATAGGAAAGTAAAACAAGACGAAAGAATGATGGAAGTGGTACCAAAAATTCAGATACATACAATAATTATCTCGTGATATTCGAAATTGAGGTATTCGACCAAGTTAAGTATGAGTCTAGGTATGTGAAATCTGGAATTTTGAGCCACAAATTTTATTGAGTGATTATGATCTATACTCATTGGTAACCCGAAACAAGTACGAGGAGCGAGAGGGCAAGCCAATGAGAGAGCATGAAGTCACGCGGGATGAAGAGACGAGACTCAAGATAAAGGCGACGAGAAACCGTGAGCGTGAGGAAACAACGAGAGGATGAAGAGGTGATCATTTGGTGATACTTTTGAAACTCGTTTTTTAGTTTTTTTTTAAATCACAGCGACAAAAGTAGAGCTTCGAGTGTTCGAGATGTCGCGAGGGCGATTATGGTTTACCTTGGTGACGCTTCAATGCATGTTCTTTAGACCATGTATGTCTCACCTCAACTCGCAACGGCCGAGTACCCGAGTCTTTTGCTCATTCCACGAGTATCCAAAACTCGGATACTCGATCCCTAAGAAACTGTGACCAAATACTCCGATAAAAAAGAGAGATATATGTAGTGTTTTTATACACATCAAAAAATAAAAAAGGAAAAGTTATGAAACATCCTACAAAGAATAAATTGATGAGCAACCTATAAAGGTGCACATAACTAACTTGCAGAAACAAAAAATTAAACCAAAAGTTGCAATAAGTTTAAGCTAAACCGGTATTTCAATTTTTATTGTAGCAGTTAATAGAACATAACAATCCGTAATTGAGTTTTGCCATCTCTGTTACATCATTTTTTTTAATTATTTAGTGAACCGATGAAATATGACTACTATTTATATAAAACAAAATTCAATAATGAACTGGAAAAGAAACAATTCGGTTTATCTTGATGTTATCATACTCTTTTTAAAAAAGAAACTTATTTTGTATTTAATAGTCCCGATTTATTTATTAATTAGAGGTTTCTTTATTTTTATTTTTCAACTTCTCAATCAAACATGTCGTCTAATAATTAGTTAAGGATTTGAAATATTATTTAGAAAAAAAATGTTCTTTAGGTCCAAGAACATGTTTTTTAACCTAAGGGTAGATAAAATTCGAACCTCATTTAAACATAATTTTGGACGAATTCCTCTAATGGAAAAAATAGAAATAATAATGTTTTACAACCAAGAAAAATCTTTATTTTATAATTATTTACTTAGCAAAGCCTAAGAGATATTGAAAAAATTCTTATCTCTTATACGTTTTTTTATTGTGATTTGGTATTAAAATCAAAATATAAATAAACATGTTTTTCTCCTTATTTAAATATTACTGAGCTCTCAAAATAATATATATTAAACTAACAATGTATTATAATTTGTTTCATATGTGATAATACGTTTTTATATACTATTTGATTCTGTTTGTAGTATTTTATACATATCATTCTTATATTTGTTTTAATACTAAAGGTTGCACATATATGAAAAGAATATTTTTTCCATTTTTTATAATATGATACCGTAAAACAAATGAGGCAGTTTCCAAAACTTTAACATGAAATGGAATCACCATAAAAATTATATGCAAACTTTTTTTTTTGATAAAATGTGATTTGGTATTCATACTTTGAGGTTCTCAGAATGTACAAAACCAGTCATATAGACTGTACCCGAGCAAACTTAAATGGACATCCCCATGTGTAAGTGGTAAACTACATACTCTATTCTTTTTACCTCTTTGCAAACTTAACAACATGCCATTTGAAAATTTGCAATATTTCTACACAAATAATAAATTTCATGAATGTTTGTGTTATTTAAATATATATGATGATTTATATGACGTTGAATAAGCATAAATAAAAGAAATATCTTTTCACTTAGCCGAAATTATAACGATTGAATTTTTATTTAGAAAATTTAATTTGGGGTTATTTGATCATTTTAAAAGTTTGAAGAAAATCTGTTATTTTGCATGGATTTGGTAACATCAAATGGAAATTTAGGATAAATTTAGAAATTTTCAAAACTAAAAGATTGAATTGCAATTTTATCTAGGTTTTTTTCTCTTTCTTTACCTTACTTGCGCCGTTCTCTTTATTTTTTTCATTCTCTCTTTTGTCTTCTTCCTCTCTCTCTCCTCTCCTTTTCTCTCCATCTCATCTCACGTACTCTCTCTCCCTCATATACTCACAAGGTACTCTCTCTCTTTCACACACTCACATCTCTCCTCACTCTCTCACATCACTCTCACCCTCTCTCCTTAAACTTTTCCATTTTTTTTACTGTTTTTATTATTATTATATTCATCATCATCATTATCATCATCATCGTTACCAAGTTAATTTTTATTTAATTATTTATTTTATTATTAGTATTTTCTTCCACAATGTGGATTCATTCACACCGTCACGAGTAAAATCTTTCCGGTGCCACAGATTATATCTTTTGAATTTTCTAATATCAATTTTGAAATACATTACATAAAAATCGAGATTTTTATTGAGAATTTTAAACTGAGTGATATTTTATTTATTTTAAAAAAAAGATTTAATCGGAAAACATTTATCGATTAATTAATTTTTTTTCTTTACTATAATGTAATTGTTTTGGAATGATAGATTATTGATTAGGATTATTAAATTATTAATTATTAATTAATTATAGGTGAAGAAAATCTCGAGGTTATTGAACACAGGATCGAGGATTAGAGCGAATCTTTCAGAGTTCATCATTTAGAACGAGGTGAGGGAACTCGACAGAACTCCTCTTTCTTCTATTCGCTTAGATATGATGATAGAGAACGTAGATATCATGCGGTTAGAACTTTAGGATAGACGTCTTAAATTTCTTACGGATTCATGATGTATGTTGATTGATGATTGATGATTGATGATTGATGAATGATGATTAATGATTGATAATCGATGATTGATGAATAATGCATGATGATTGATGATTGATAAATTTCTGTGGAGTGATTATGGCTTATGACGTACATGTTATGTGATGACGTTTCTTAATAGATTATTAGACCGTTAGAATGAGTTGAACTTTTGATATTAAATAAATTTTGGCGTGATGTTTGGAAAGATGAGAGAAGTAAAGAATTGAGTTAGAGACTAGAATGTGACCTCAGACTGTGCTAAAGATATTTTAAAAGTGAGTTTTGAGACCATGGTACGACGATGATCCGTATGTGATGGTATGATAACAACCCGAGCATGGCAGCGATCCATGTGGAGTGATAACCCCGACTACGGCGGTGATCCGTAGCTTTGGCAGGATGTTTGGAAAGATGGGCCGGGCATGGCAGCGATCTATGTGGAGTGGTAACTCCGACTACGGCGGCGATCCGTAGAGGGTTATTACTATTGGTCGTGTTTTGATAACCCCGACTACTGCGGCGATCCGTAGAGGGTTATAACGATATTTTTTGTTTTGTTTTATAAAAGAGTTTTGAGCTAAGTCTGAGGGGTACTGAATGGTCCTAGAGTCTGGATTCGTTTTAAAGAATCGAATAAAGAATAGTCAGTAGAAGAACGTGAATTAATAGATTGAGTTTTGCTTGAGTTGAATGTTGATTGAATTTGTTTTCTATTTGATTGTCTATGTTGGGTACGGAGGCGAGGTTTATAGTCTTTCAACTTCACTGAGCTATTCGCGTAGCTCACCCCTTCCTTTTTCTCCACAGGTGAAAGGTGAAGCTGATCAAGTGGTAGGACTTGGTAGTTGCAAGAGACATGTTGTTTTAAATTTTTATTTTTATGAGTTCAGTATTTTTAGACTTATGTTAGAATTTCATTTCAACTTCACTGAGCTATTCGCGTAGCTCACCCCTTCCTTTTTCTCCACAGGTGAAAGGTGAAGCTGATCAAGTGGTAGGACTTGGTAGTTGCAAGAGACATGTTGTTTTAAATTTTTATTTTTATGAGTTCAGTATTTTTAGACTTATGTTAGAATTTCATTATTGAGACTTCCGCTGCAGATTTTGAGATGATAATATGGTATTAAGAATAAACCGAATCTTTCTTTTTAAAACCTACGTGACGATTCAATGGTTTCCGAAAGACCAGATTTTGGGTCGTTACAGATGGTATCAGAGCCTGGTCTTTCCGTGGGACTTCAAACAACCATTAGTTTTTGTTAAGGAATTAATCCTGGTTAATGTAACCATTCTAATAGAGTTTTTCCATAATGTGAATGAGGATGACATATGGTCATGGACGAGGATGTCCAATCCTAAAGGAGGGGAGATATGTCTTCCGAAATAAGTATTACTGGATTGGAATATAAAAGGAGATGACAATGAGACTTATTAGCCTTCAACGAGGACATTGTATAATAGAGAGTAAGTAAAGAAATGCAATGAGTTGTCTAGATATAGAGGTGAGATGTCTTAGTTGGAGACCTTAAAGATTAAAGAGCTTGCAAAGGGACTTCGTTCTTCTCTCAAAGCAGTTTGATCTTTTTTTTTAAAAAAAAAAAGCAATTCGATGCCAAAGATAATGGATATGACTTAACAAAATGAGAGAACAAAACGTAAGATCGAGACCAACACCTAGTCCATGATGACAAGAGTACGGTAAAGGCTCTTATTCACCCTTACGTAGTTGGGATTACAATGTACTCATGTTGTGGAAATCACCATTTAGTCGAACGTATATTGTTCCTCATCACTTGTTACCGTTGTAAAAAGGTTTTACACTACAGAAGCGTTTGTCCTAAGTTGGAAAGGGAAGCACCAAAAAGGAATGAACAAAGACCACCACCACAACTTCTAGCTTCCAAGAGACAAGTGGTGAAGTCTCAAGTCTATATACTAGGAACTGAGCAGCGAGATGAAAAAGAAACAACAGTAATCATAGGTACATTGAGTACTGGAGATGAAGAAACACGCATCCTTTTTTATACAGGGGTGACACAGTTTTATTTCGCCCGCACACATAGATCACATGGAGATTGCACCTGATATTAATAGTGGTAGAATATTGGTTCATACTCCTGGTGGAGAGGCAATGGAATCGAAAGGAATGATTCGTGACGTATTGATCATGATTGGTATACATGACTTCCATGATTGATCTGATAGTGGTACCAATCAAGGGGTATGATGTGATTTTGGGTATGGATTAGTTATCATATCATCGAGCTGATTTAGATTGTAAGAGAGGTAAAGTTTATTTTGAACAAAAAGAATCTCTAATATCACAGTTTGAAGGTGAAAGGAAGACTTTATATCTGCATTTCAATTCAATGGTGCGTGTAAAGCGACTCCTTCAATAAGGAAGTGAGACATATTTGGCTATAGTGGAATTAAATGGACCGAAAATATCAAGTAGACTGAAAGACATATCGGTTGTTAAGATTTTCCTGATGTTTTTCCAGAAAATCTATATGGAATACCTTCTATGAAAGAGATATCTTTTTCTATTGAGTTGAGACAAGGAGTTGATTATATCTAAATCCCCTTATCGTATGGTTGT